CTTTGTGTACGTTGTGCAGCAAACATACATTTTCCAACACATTTCCGGCACATTTATTGGTTCGTAGACGCTATATATCTAAAACCATCAGTTTACTTACTATTAGCAAATTATGTTCGTTGAACCATCATTTTCTATGAAGTATAAACGGCCACTAATGCCATATTTTAAGCAGAATTCGACGTTTTCCATTTCATTCACTTTTTATATCATTTATGTGAAGCTTATTCTAGAGGCTTATTCCAAAATCACTAGAATTCATGAAGTTTTGGATAAAATGAATTAATTTTATCAATACTGTTAGTTAGCCATACTTATAAAATGCCATATGCTCTGTACTAACCCTTTCCACCCGTTCTTTCATTATTATTACATGATAGGATATCTACCGTATGATGAGCAGGCTAAATTTAAAGTCAAAAGATATGAAACGGAAAACGAATTGACGGTATGTGTGTTTTCACTATATGCATCTATTTCTTCACATTTTAAGTACGTCTTTCAGTCAGTAAGATTGAAATTTCTTTTTAAATGTCCTTACAATGCTGTTCACTCTGACAGTTATGACAGGGGTGGTTAGGTATGATAGTGATGCGTTTTTATTTCAGACTATACGTATTATGCAGTTACATCATGACCAGTCAAGTATAACATAAGACCACGTCAACTTGGGGGACATAGCAGACAAGTGCAAAAGCGAAGAATAGATAAAATAACCGTGTAATATAGGTTTTCATAATAAGTCATAATCTATTGGAACCTCTTATACGAAGAGGTGACATCTTCACTCTCATTTAACCGATTTAAGAGAAGGCTAGATACTGTCAGAAGCTTACTAGAAGAGACATAACAGAAGCCGTAGGCCTTCTGCCTTCAATATAAAAGTCTGGTTAAAATCTGAGCATAAATAAGCGCGCTTTAGGAACGGGACACTTAGTCATAATATGGCTAGAATTTCTCAAACGTTTGCTGTGTTTTCAAGCACCAAAAGTACCATTTCCTATTGCAAAGAATCTGTACTAATTCGATTTTTGTTCTACAGTCGTAAACGTTTGCTAGGATCCATCTAACAACTCATATTTCACCATAGTAATGGAGAACTCATGTAAGCGACCTAGATGCAGTTACGTTTATCGCCTATGATATACACAATGAAAAATGCAAGGGTTGGTTTCACGAGGCATGCACAGATCTCACGGTAACTACTCACTACGGACTTAGTAAGTCAGATTTGTTAGCAAATCTGAAAATGGGCAGTTCTGTAGCGAACAAGCAAGCAAAGACGAGCAGTGTCCTAAACAAGAGGGTCTTCGACAAAATTATTATTTATGGCACAGGCATCTACATAAGTGATGCTATGATGTGACTCTATATCTCCATAACATAGACGGCGGTAGAATCTCTCAGCAAATTTGTGTCTCCTAGCACAAGCTGTGGTCCACGAAAAATTTGGTTAGCGACCGGAACCCCTTCAATAGTGTTGAAAAGGATGGATGTCACCATAAAAATGCTGAGCAACCCAGGTCTTGTAGGAGAATCAGCTAATCATTTATATGTGAAATCTACTCCTGCGATTGTCCAAACATTAAGCAAGGAGAATGGGAATCAGAAAATTAGTGTAACTGCAAAAGAAAAACGTCTCCAACATCAAAGTACCCGAAAACCTGGGAAAACGATCCTGGTTCGCTACGATTGTTTTATAACCATGAACCCTGAAGACAGCTCTGACTTTACTTACAGTTTGAAGGACAAAAATCAAAGGATGCCTCAGGAAGAGATAAAGAGGGGCTCGAACATCGCAGAATTGGTCATGCCTGTAAACCGGCATGCCTCATGTAACAATCTGTTATTTGAGAATAAATTATTATCATTATTATTATTACTGTCACACAGCTTATCCGGGGGAAGAATTCCGAGCATCAAAATCATCCAAGACTCCTTTGTGTAATGTTTTTCAACACTACTGATGTACAGATGGTTCTGCTGATCAGTAACGTTTTGATATTAGATGATGTAAGAAAGCTGCCTGATACATCATGTCTGAAGCGCAATCTCACCAGGGATTCCCTAGTGAATCTTGCAGGACGTTATTTCGCAGGACAGCATCACCGTAAAAAAAAGTCTCGGGAAACACAGACCCCTATTGTGCAGACTATGATATTCTAGAGTATAAATTCACAAGGAAGTCCATGAAGCTCAATAAGTGGTGAGGTTAACCAATAAGGATTGAGATTCTAGATCCCGGCTAATGAAGATAACCTTCCCATCTTCCTAAACGGCGAATGTCACTCTCGAAGCATTTCGTACCAACAGACGTCGGTTATCACTTCTCTTTAGAAACATTATGGCACCGTAGGCAAATAAACAATCTGATATTTTTCTACAAAGTAATTAATGGACATTCATTCCTAACCTCCTGCCCAACTATGATCCATGACCCAGCCTATAGATTAAGAAACAACGCATATACATTATTTACAGTAAAACACCAAAAACAAGTGCATTTTAATTTTTTTACAGTGCGGTATAGTTTACTGTGGAACAGGCCACCAATACCTATCCGTAACTGTGACACTTTTATCAAATTAAAAGGGTCTAAAACCTTATTACTAGACTCTAAAGAGCTTCATCAACTATTCCTTGAACTCCTACCCAACAATGTGGCACTTTATTATGGACCGTCTAATATCTAGACCATTCATGAATATAACGAACCCCATTATTAATAATGTGAATATAATGAAATTAAAGAACAAGTGGTTTGTCCTCTCACACTATTCATTGATTATTAATCATGGCCTTCTGCTCCTAACCCTCACTTTCAGATTCTGAATCATTCTAATGTTTAAAGTTACACTATTCTTCTTAAGTGCCATGTCTTTTTTATTACAAGTAGACAGATAACTCAATAATCTTGTGGATGCTGATCATCTAAGGCCGATCAAAAGAAGCTCAAAATGTCCTAAATTCTTGTGAATTGTTCAGTGTTTTACTTTTATTACCCTGAAAATTTTACACTCTTCTACTCTTTCATATCCTTTGATTTGCTATTAGTTCTTACCATCTCTTAGCCACATATAATATGACCTGTTTCTTGTAGTCTATACTATTAGTTATCTTCATAGCAGTATGAAATACTTGGTGGATGTCTAACCCACAAATGCTTCAGCAATCTGATTTACTTGTAACATGGAACTACTAGAGACGAAGCTTGCTCAATACCCTATAAATTTTAAACAAAATGGACTCAAATAACTTCAAAAAATAAAGTAGACAGCCATTTGTTTATCAGAATACTGCTTTCAGCACTATATTTTATGATTACACATAATCCCATACTTTCAGCTTCTTTCTGAATCATCTTCATTTACAAAGTTCCTTAGCTACTCATAGCTTGTTGACATATATTTCCTCTAACATACTAGAGTGCCCTTGCTTAATAAGTACCTTAATAACAGAGAAATAGACTGAGTAGTTATGCCTTAACTAGTTCTCCGTGAACATTGTCTACTCTGCTTTTCGTCCTTTCTTTTTCTTACACCCTTTTTCAGCCCTTTTGAGATACGCCACCGAAAATAGATATGGGATGGGTGACTTCGTCCTGCACCATTATTAAAGCCTCAAATATTCCAAAGGGATATAAGCTTATGGTTTCTGCGAGCCGCCAACTTCATATGGATCTATTCTCAACCATCAGTTTTATGTGGCCGAAACCATAAAGCGCGCCAATTGTCATATTAACAATATGTTCCTTACTAAAACCATTCATAACATAGCTGAGTAATTTACTACAGTGAAAATTGTAACAAATTGATCTTACCTGTAAACTGGCATGTCTCATGTAACAAACTGTTATTTGAGAATAAATTATCATTATAACTATTATTATTTACCAACTGTAATACACATGCATCCGAATAGGCCAAATGTTTCAAGCTTCAAGCACAAAAGCGTATTGAGACGGACATTTTCATATGTGGACTTTCAAGGACAAGAATAAAACGTAAAAGGAAGGGAGGCTACCGACTGGGAAAACCCTGTGTTGGTAGTTTGCCTGTCTATTTACATAAAACTCATTCAGACAAACAGGGGGAGTAAGTTCACGTGTTTCGAATCGAACGCGAAAACTACCTATATGTGAACTCTGTGGGTTAGATAGATAAGTTGTGTGAACTAAGCAACGCTAGTGATCCCCATCTGATAGGAATGTCCGGAATATGGGCATCTAAAATTATAGAGCTAGCTATACCTGTCATGTCCTTCTTTTGCAACGACAGAAAAATAGTATTTTGGGTGGAACTGTACTGTACCTACGATACTGCATGGTAACACATCAAGTGTATATTCGAGTCGTATGCTGGAAGGATTAACCCACTCTACTCGGCAAAAATGCCTTTCGAGTAAATCTTGCACTGATAACATTGAAGCGCGTTTTTGGCCAGTTTGACGGCAGAACTTTCCACATAATGTTCTACAGTTTTTTCGTCTCCATTTCAAGTACGGAAACACAGTATTTCCTCCCTCTCTCCAAAAGGATAAGGATACAATGGAAAGTATCCAACGGTGAGTCACACAATCAGTTGGGAAAATAAATTAAAGTTTTATGGAGAGCGCTCCAGATCACTGGAATTTTACCCATTACATTATGGGTGTCTTAGAGATGACCGTCTTATGGCTTACAGTATCCTTAACACTTCTGGTCGTCCCTTTAAACATCGACTTAAGCTTAGTCACAATACTAACCTAAGGAGTAACACCAAGAAACTAGAGACTCAGCATAGAAGAACGTACTGTAGACACAACTTCTACTCCTTGAAAGTAGTCAAATGCTGGATTTCGCTGCCGACTGAGCTAGTTCAAGCGACTTCTCAGGAGTTTTTTAAGAGGAAACAAGACCTATTCTTAAGGACTAAAGATAACATATTATAATGTTCTACCAATTTCTTTTTTCCTTTATCATCGTTAATATACCTATGTTCCTGTCTGGAGGTATTGCTGATCTACTGCTACTAGACACGGAAGCCCGTTAGGCGAAAGCTTCTTCTATTCCGTCCACAACCATTTGAACCATTCTCGTGTAACCATCTTGAAATGTTGCGTTACGTTAGTATTGCGTAAGACTCGTGTAACCTATTTAATTATGAAACCATTCCATATGCTCATTAAGTTGTTCGACTTATCCTCATTTTTGTAGTAGTAAAAAATATGAATGGCCTTTGCAAATTAATAATAAAAATTAGTAAAACCACGGCAGACAAATCGAATTGACATGAATAATGAATCTTCTATGTCATTTATTAAGGATTTCGCCACGAGCTAAAGTTCGCTATAGTTCGATGGACATGACTAAGCATAGTCATGTTGATGAATGAATTTCGCCTTCAAAGATGTCCATATGTATTTTAACCGGACCATGTACAACAAAATTCCTAATGTTAAAGTGTTTAGTATGCATTTGTTTGCTTAAAATCTATCCTTAAAAATGTACTCTATGACTTCTAATTAGTTTTAATACAAGACATGAACACTCGGTTCTTAACGAGTGTTTTGGGCACAACAAATTTCTTAATGCAAGAGTTCCTACAGCCATTTAGGTCGCCGTGCAATAATGTGGCATCTCTATAAATGTCATTAATGTCCTCTAAAATGGTTTTCAGGAGGTGCTGCAAATCTCGAGAACTGTTATAGACCATCTATTCTTTTATTCCTACTACTCGAGACTACCCTTCTGTTTTTTTTAAAGGTCTACTGTAAATGAATTTACCTGCTGTACTCAAGGTAATTGCGTTCATGTGTATTAAAGTTTTCTAGTCTACTTTGCAGCTTCCTGTTGCTGGATTTACGGTCACTGTTGTCCAGATAGAGTTTTCTGACCACTTAATGGTACTCATTTCACGCAACGGGATGATTGGGGATATTGTAAATCATATATTTGATAAAATATTCTTTCAGGTTTTGTCCCAGAAAAGCAATCTACCGACAATAAATGGTCATGTTTCTCATGATCTTGATACTCGGACCTTGTTTGGTCCTGAGAAAGTGAGCCTTCAAGTTATTTTTACACTAGTGTTTCTTTCGTAAAGAATTTGGAACGCCTGTCACTCTATTGTAGTACCTTCATTACACGTTTCGCACATATCTTTAAAAAGTCAAGGGCTAATAAGCTTCCAAAAATGAACTCACATTTGAGAGAATAAATTAATCGAACAGACATTGGGATTAATTTGTTAAGATTGACCTTGTTACATCACTTTTCATCTCTATCTGTTCATAGTTTAATACACACTTTATAACTGGATAAGACGACTCACTCTAGCTTCGTATTTCAATCGGAATCTTAGTTGCAGAAAACTTCTTATCTACAAATGCAGTAGGTTGTTTTAGTGAATATTTAGAACCTCTCCTTCCTATTTTATGATTTCAAAAAGTTATCTAACGTCTGTAAGTAATACTCTGGTACTTGCTTTCAATGTAAGTTCCTGGGAAAATTACGTGAGTCAAATAAAATTTCACTTTTTGCACACTAGTTCAAAATTATGTTCGCTTTTTATTGTACTTACTTTTAACTGTATAAAGCAGGAAAATAATTTTGGGGATTTCATGTAAGCCTCATTTTAGTTTTGCTCACAGACATTTGATCTACTCTTGTAAAATACATCAATTTTTCTTTGACATTTTATTACTTGTAAGTTACCTAACAATTTTATCTTATTCTTCCTTACAGATGAATACTTGTCTTGTCACCAGGCAGATCACCAAGACTTTGGACACTTCAAAAACAATACTTGTTAGTACTGATTTCAAAGAAGACATTTGTTTTAGTGATACTCAACTGATTTGTGATGTTTTAAAAAATATAAGATCGAAATAGCTTAGTACTTTTGCTCTTGCCTAACGTATATCATTAGTTACGTATGCACATGTATAAGTTCTCAGGCCATCTAGTTTTCACAATTTTCTAAAAGATATTTTGTTACTGGTTTGACAAGTTTTGTTGAGAATCAAATACTTAAACCATGTAATTTGAAATGATTATGAAATGCATATTGTTAGCCTCACTCCTAATAAGCATTGTCAGGAGGCAGTCAGCTGCAACATAGGACCAGGCACATATATGCATCAGTCCAAGTTGTCATACCTCATCAACACAAGATGAACATCAAATTCATAGATGTTACTTCAATGGTATTAATATATAAAAGAAAGATTGTGTATAAAGATATAGTGCAGGAAGAAAGAATTAGTTGGTAGAAAGAGAGATAAAAAGTAATTTTAATCTCATGGTTTAAAGGAAGACAGAGAGTGTATGCACCTACATCATTGTGATAGATTTTGAGCCATGTCACCTAATGTCTCCAACCATTGGTTAGGGTAGTCACGCGGACCCCAACCAAATAGTCTGCACCTACCAACATGGCTCAGACTAGAAGTTAATGACTTTGTGGATTGATGTTATGTTTCGGTTCGGCCGCCCTTAACTATTCTCCAATCATCTCCAACACTAGTCAGCATTGCGCGTTGTGGTAATCGGTGTTCAGGTATACATAACACGTGGCCCCACCATCTCAGTCGATGAAGATTTACAACCTCATCAACTGTTTTATCATCATTCCCAAATACCCTACGTCTAACCTCACTATTACTTACTCGGTGATCCCACCAGATGCGAGCAATATTTCTACGACATTTGTGGTCAAATACTAGTAACTTAGGAATATCACACCTCTGTACAGTCAGCAGTACGACCTCACCCTCGGACTTTGGATTTGTTGCTTTTAGTCTTACCACTCTTCAACCGACCTGTGTGGGAAGGTAGGACCCTGAGGGACGATTGCTCCAGCCGTTATAGCTCGATTGGTTCATCACGGTAGGCAAGCACGACCACCATGTCAAGGTAGCAGTGACGGTCAGGTTCAAGAGGCGGTCTATCAAAAAGATTTACAAACATCTTACTAACAGCATATATCGCTTACTAAGTATAATACATCATCGTATTATGAATGATGTTCTAAGGATTGACTTAAAGATTCCGGATTTTGATTTCTGATTCATGTATAGGGTTTAGACAATTTGATATTTATGTCCAGATGCTTTACAATATCAGCAGAAATCTTGACCCCTACCATATGTTGCAGATTGTACAAAGCTTGTAGAAACTAGGCCCGCGACGAGCGACCAGATTTTCGTTTGAATCATGAATATTTCTGCATTTTTATCTCCCGCTATTTTCTGAAACGCTGACAGTTGTTCTGTTTCTTGATACCAAAGCTGTCTCAATTTCGTCAGACAGGACTTTCCTTTGTGTTTGACCATCAAAAAGTGGTGTTTCTGAAATATCTATGCACATCCTGTACATAAATACCTCTTATAGTGGGGAATAATGCGACTCCTGTTCATTGTCCATTCCAACAGCTCAGTTAACCGGGTTCGCCCTATCTCACAGTTCCTCTTTAATTCTCTGTCTTTGATATTCTGGTAACGGTTCTCAAGTAAGTAAACAGTAGCAATCCGTTACTGGGAAAATCTCTCCAACCATTGATGTATGAATGGCGTTGTTTTACCGTGTAACGATATGAAGGCAGTCAATACCTGTCATTATAGCATGCATTTTACACCTAAATGCAAAGTAAACATACAGAGCCAGCATAATTTTGCTTTTGTACTCGCTCTTTATGGTAGACTGCTGAGAATAGTTCAGAAATTTATGTATCTGTAAAAATTCGGATGTTGTAGCAAGTAAGGTCAATCAGCAATGTGTCCGGGGTATTGATGGAAAATTACTTAGTCCTGACTTCCGTGACTTGGACTTGATATATAAAAATAAGAGTTGGTTTGTTCATGATATATCTCTGTTAAACGAAAGGTAACTATAAGATTGACGACCACTCGTCCATTATGATTCTTAGGACAGTTAGCCGAAGATTATGACGCCCAGTAGATTTTTATGTCATTAGATGTGGCTAAAAATAGAAGTCATTGGGGATTCTGCTGTATTTTTTATTACATTTGTCGTAAAAGTGACATGGGTCTTTTAAATGGACAAAATTTACCTTCATTGTTCTCTTAACAATCCGGTTAAGTTGCTCTAGTTCTTTGTTGTTCAGTTACTCTAGGTTTAATATGCTGAAATATTAGTTTCTGTCCATATATGTTAACTGCGTTATTAGTCTAGCGAAAGAGTTGATCTTTCCCATTAACCTAATGATGCCTACATTTTACTGTAACAAACATTTCGTAATTATTGAACTCAATTCAGCTAAAATAAGCCTGTTAGGAAGACGTTTGTCACAACCTAATGTTTTAAAATAGCTACAAATGTCTCATGAACTTAGACTGGATATTCTGTCGGTTGTTACTTTAGCCATAGAATAAGCTATGTGGACATGTTTTTTTTAAATGGTTTTCACTCTACACATGTTTTCAATAACATTTATTTGTCTTTATTTTGACTGAAATTCTTGTAACGAACTCACAAAGATTTTTAACTGTTAAATGGTCATGTTAGCAGGATATAGATTGGATTAGTTCTATACAATTAACTAATTAGCTGACTCAGCTAGTTTTAACTTGAGAACCTCAGTAATAGCAAAAAGAATTGTTGTACATAAAAATAAGTTCATTGTTGTGGTCTTAATAGAATAAAATGCTCAAAATTAATGTATTGAAGTAACTATGATTGTGTTAATGAAGCTAGTAATTGTAATAATAACTCAATATAACTATCTTAAAATGCCAAGAAATTACACAAAATGAAATCTTCATGTTTAGAGGCTTCTCGATTGTGTGCACATAATGAACAAATAGTTATTGGTTATATTAAAAATTGTGTACAAAAAGAAACAAAAGATAAAAGGCCGCAGCGCATCACGAAATGCTTCAGTTCTGAATTGATATGTATATATATGATATGTATATCATTAAATGCATGCATAGTATAACGGTGTTATTTATTAGACTGGATTACATGGAGTTAATGCTACTACTACTAATTCATGTGGTACAATAGTAACCTCTTCAACGTTGGTCGAATTTAAAATTTGTTCAACCGGTAAAACAGCTGGTTTATTGTTGTCTTTTCGTTTTATCTCTTCAACTATTGTTCGTATTGTTTTCTCATCGTCTTTGTAAGCTGGATTTGTTACAGATTTCATTCCATCATCATTCTGTTTAGTTTTCGATTTGTTACCTTTAAAAATTCTACGAAATACACCTTTACTTATAGTTGTCGAAGTAAAATGTTTATCACCAGCATGTGGTAAAAATATACTAAATAGAAATCCAATAAGTGCAATGGCTGAAAAAATCAGTACTGCACCTAACGCAGATACACGTTGTAAAAATACTTGTCCTAAATAAGGTGCTGTTAATACACCAATACGAAAACATGTTGACATAACACCAAACACAAAACTTCTTATACGTGGTGCATATAGACCTGTTATATAAATTGCAGTTGCATTATTGCCAGCGGATGCTACAGCTCGTGTTGCGAAAAAGAAGAAACGTAATAGATTTGACGGCATGCAAAAAGCCTGAAATTGGTTGTAAAAAATGTAATAAGGTTACATTAACTAAAGTAATTTATAGGAAGTTACAATAATTTGAGGTTGGCCTACATTAAAAATGGTTAAAATGATTTTTTCTGGTTAGCGTTTGTTTAGTAGGATTCTTTTTCCATGGGATTAAGAACCCGTATTTTACAGAAGACTATTGAAAATCAGGAAGAACATGAACAATGTTTATTTTTCATTTGAGGTCCTCAGAAGCTCCGGTCTATTGTAATATTGGATCTGTGAATTTAAGGGTCCCTGATGAAAACCAGTGTTCAGTTATTGAATCAATTGATGAAATTGTTCAGTAGCTCCAGTTTCTGATGACGAATTAACTTATCAAAATGTGCAATAAAATTTTGGTCAGTTTTTCATAAATCAATATTTTAGGCAAAAGACATTCACTTAAACTTACATGAACCTACGTATCCATATTTCACAGGTTCATGCTAAGTGTATTCTACAGTCTTATGTTTCCGTATAAATGTTTAGCACTTTTCCACTATATATATATATATATATATATATATGACCTTAACGAAAGTTGGTTGTTCTATGCAAGTCAATGGATCGGAATAAATGTATGGAGGTTCTTTTAGCACATTTACTTGTAATCTTGTAGATCATTTTGAAATTGGTATTATTGTTACAAATTATTATTATTATTACAAATTAATATTATTATCTTCAAGTAATACTTTTAAAATGAGACAGATATATCATAATTTTAATAATCTTATGAACTAAGCATCCTCTTTGTTTCATTGAGATCATAAAGCACTGGACAGCTATTTTGTCATAGTATGAGACGCGTCAACAGTGGGCATCCACAATCGTTCACGTAGAATTCAAACTTCTTAAAATTGTGAACTAATCGATTATTTTATTTAAATAGTTAATCAAGTTCGACCATTGACATGATTCATTTAATCCAGTTTCAGTGAATTAGAATGAAAAGTGTGTTTATAAATAGGAATGAAGTGTTGAGACGAACCAATCAGAGTAAGTAATGAATACTTATACATTCTGCTTAAATTTATGATTAATAAAATAAATTACCCAGTTTAACAAAATAGCCATAAATAAATAAATCACCAGTCATTTTATGTTGTGAGAAAATATACTTACTCTTGTAACTTACTTCAATAAATATTAGAAGAGCTGTTAAAAAGAAACAAGTATTAATTGTCCATTTTCGTCCAATAATTGTAATTAAAGTTAATGCTATTGGAAAACTAAGTATACTTCCTATCATAGATGACATTAAAGAAATATAACCTTCTTTTAACAATGGAAGACAACAATCTTCATTATGTATACCAGAATTTTCATAAGTCTCATGTGGGACCTCTGTTAAACCTTTATAAATAGACTAAGAAAGAGAAAAAATAAGGAATAAAGTTAATCACTTCAGTGAAAAACTAATTACATTTGAATACATAAGCTATTTTGAGCATATGAATATTTGACTGATTAAGAGATTGAGCACAAATGTACTGTTATAAGTGATATATGTGAGACAACTTTTAATGCAGTTTATCAATGGATTAGTTTGCTTAATTAGTAAGCTGTATTAATAGTAATGTTTAATAAAGAGGTGATTTACATTATCGATAGATAGTAGTTAAAGTACCATTAATAACACTGTACATTACTCAGTGTGAGTTTTTTTTATAGTTTGAGGGTTGCTTTGCTATGGACACTTATGACATTTCATAAAAAGAAGCCTAGGAACTTCAGCTTTAGCTGTGGCACACTTATGATGTAGAAGTTAAAGCAAAACAAGTTGTTTTCAGCCTAATATTCATTAACTTGTAGTCATTGGTTAAATCAAGAATAATCTTCCTAGTTCTAACATTAATGATATTAGTTCCAGTAGTTTAATTTACTTGATAAGAAATATTGGTTTATTAAAACTACTTATATATAATGATCAGTAATATACCTTAATAATCAAAAAAACGTTTTGCTCAAAAAATTCTATTGACATTAAAAGAATTTACTTGGTGAGTGAATTAATCTATAGGTAAACAAAGTGGAGTAATTAAATCAACCTCAGGTCAGTTTAAAATAAGTTTGTCAGATTATAAACAGTTTACAACTTTAAATTCACTTGGTATTGTCTGTTTGAATCTTCCCATTGATGTTTAGGACTACAATTGATCAGTATCTTACAACTTTAAAAAATGCACACTGTCACACTGAACTTTTTACTATTGTTGGTTTCTGGTATTCTGATATTTTAAAGTTCGACGAATTGTTAAATAATAGTACTAATCGAAGTTGAACAAGTAATACAGAGGATTCTTAATAAAATATCTAAAATACTAATGAGAAGAAAAATGCTTCAATTAATTTGGAATACAAGAAATGTTGTCACAGCAACCCAATATCATGTATGTGTAAAAGATGAAATACTAAACTCCTGGGTAACATTTTCTTTCCAATGTATCAATTCTCATCCATATAAATAAATAAGAAATTTCACAAAGTGAATTAGGGAAATTCGGGCTACCATTATTTTGTACGTTATTATTTAAATTAATCGATTTGATTCTATATGCCAACATTTTTAGTTACAATTAATCCATCATAAAAGTTAAAAATGTTAATCAGTGTCATTTCATTTTTTTGAAAATTCAAAAAAAACACCGGCTATTCAATATCAGAATATTCAGAGCAACTTAAGATATTCTATCATAAAAATTAAAACGAAAGTAAACATTAAGACTTAGTAGAAACTCTGTAAGATTGTTTCATCTTCGGTATTCAGTATGGAGACGAGGTATTGTCTCGATAAATTCAAATGATCTAAGATTGTATGACAAATTACAAACAATCTCTCAGTTGAATGTGATGGATAACTGTATGAGTTTCATCCATTTTCCATTAGTGAACAAGATGGAATGATGAACACACTCTTTTGGAAGATTAACATACCTACCTAAGTCAAAACTAGCAGGCTTTTCTGAATTAAATAATTTATTTATCAGCAAAGACCTCCAAATGTTTTAAAATACGTAAACTTAAATCACGAAAACTGTTAAATTTTGTCTGTTTGAAAGTTAACCTGGAGTGGTTGAATTATCGAGTTAGAAAATATCGAATACTTTTTATCAAACAAGCCAGTAGAATCTATTGTAAACTGACTGAGGTTAGAAATGTAACTTATAGGATCCTATCTCAATTGTATGAAGGTTATTCACTCGCTGTTAAACTTCAATTTTCGGGAATCAATCTCTGGTAAGATCGTGAGCGGGCATTGCAGGGGAGAATCATACTACAGAGAAATAGATATTTAGTGCATACTGGTTTTTAGTGGTTGTCTAGCTAAAACCAGCAAATTATGTGAAACTATAAGATTCAATAATCTTGGTAAAATATTATATTTAAAAAATAAGATATTTGGTAAAACAATAAATCGATCTACACTTTATAACTTATATCCATATTTATTAGAAGTTTCTTAAGTTTGATAACTGTATTACCATACGCTGTTCTTAGAAGTGTATACTTTCAATGCAAACTAAGGTAATTAACATATTTTTACTGATATTCATAGAATCTACTTACAAGTACCTTTCATTTGAATTTGACCTAAATGAGATCAGTGTATTACAAACTAGAAAAGAAACCGCAACTATTCGCATAAAATGTTCATATGTGAAACGAAAAGATAATACCTCACATTTATTTTATTATTATATTATAAGTAGTATAGTTTAATAATCACAAAGAAAATACTTTTGTTTTTATTAAAAAATCAATGAAATTACATAATATTAAATTATTACGATTCTGTTTGAGCAACTGTTGCTTTTATAAGTCAGTTGCATTACTGAACAAATAGTTTCAACCATATTAAACATAAATACAATGGCTATTAACAACTCTAGTTGATTGAGAAGGTATCTTTTTTTAAATCAATGAGTGTCACTGAAAAATGTCTAGGAATTTATATATTTGTTATGAGGAAAACGATTCAACAAAACGGTGTAGTCAAATCTAAACTTTTATAGTATTAATTATCTCAATCCTTTATTTATATCGTTTCGTTGCTATGACAATGAATGAAAATAATTTTGTTCGGAAAATTTTTTTTCCTTGTGTATTAAGTATCTGAAAGTACATCGTTTATGAAATATTAAAAATAGTTAAACTGATATTGTCTACATAATAAGGTTTTTACTATTACTGGCTTCGAAACTCGCGAGAGCGGGTTCGTGGATGTGCACTGCTGAGGAGTCCCATAATAGGACAAAACGGCCGTCCAGTGCTTCCAGGTTTTCCTTGGTGGTCTAGCTTCAATTGACTTACGCTTTCAACTATGAAAAATACTAAATCCCCACAAAACCCCTTCTGATAATTAACATTACACATTTGTTTACATTATCACCACGTGATAAATTGAAAATTCAATTGAACAAGGATGTTTACTGAGTACTTTAAGAATATTTTAGGTAGGAAAATTGGGTGTTTTTTTTAAAAACATCTTGCAGACTACTTATAAACAAGTCAATAATATTATTTAATGCATGAAATAGTACTTTTTTGTAACTTGCCCAATAAAATCCGATTTTCACTTCATCTTTCTTTGAATATATCTGTATGTGTTTTTTTCCAGGTAAATGTAAAACGACAAATAAATTTCAAAATGATTTAATTTTGATCATACTACTGAAAAGTTTGATATGTAATAAAACTCTCAATGTTTACGGATGACTATTTTGGCTATCTAAAACATTTAAAAGTTAACCTACAGTTAAATATAGTTTTTATTAAGTTATTATACAGGATATTTAAATATACTTCTCAATACTCTAATCTTCAGTCGTGATGTTGTAGTAAACAAGAACATGAGTGGGGACAATCAAATGTATTTACGCACAAATTACAGACTATCTCACTAAATTCTGATAACCATACAGTGAATAGTTAATTTTCAAAATAACAATCAATTGTCTCATTCTTAACTGTTCGTTCAGCAAATATCAGTCCGTCTTCTCTGATTTCATTGTTCGTGCATTTTCATACCTACTGCGCTTCATTCCTGTTCGTTCCTTATCGAACTTCTGCCAAAATACATTCTATGTTTGATCATCACCATATACTGCTTATATGGATATAAGTAGACCACACCACCATGTGACTAGATTCAATGTACTTTTCATTCACCAATATTTCACTAATATTCTTTCTAAGTACTCAATTTTATTTAAACAGTACACCATCACTTCAACAAGACCTGTATATAACAGAAGTGAACGATTACTCCTTTCAATATACTCCTTTTTAAATAATAAATACAACTAAAAAATATATTTTCATCAGTTCTGAAACATTGTAGTGGATTACAAAAAGTATTTTTCTTATTAAACAAAACCAATGGAGTTCAACCAGGTCTGTTGGAAGATATCAACTCACTGAACACATTGGTGAATGGTTGCTCAATTTCATGGATTGGTTCGAGTTAGACATTAACATCATTGGATGCTGGCTCAGTGGTCTAGTGGTGAAGCGATTGCGCGCGAGACTCGTAGTTCCTGGGTTCGAATCTCGTTAGGCGGGATCGTGGATGCGCACTGCTGAGGGGTCCCACAATAGAACGAACAGGCCGTCCAGTACTTTCAGGTTTTCCATGTTCGTCTAGCTCCAATTGACTCATGATTTCAACTATATAAACAAAATAACTTGAATAGAACGTTTTCTCATAGGTAATATGTAGACATTCCTCTTCTTTATAGATTTATTTAACAAACTATTTGGGTTATAATTAACTCGTTATGTGGTAATATCATTTGGTAGCAACTTGATCATGAATGCTTTTCATTTCTTAAACTTCAACACTTCTAAAAGTACATACCAGTTAATCAGATGTAGCCATAGTCATTGCATTGTAATTTCAAGTTACATGTAATAAAAACCTTGTTAACACTTTTTCAATTCTGCAATGTTGTTTGTTATTATTTGACTGGTTTTTCACACTTTTAATTTCCTAACTAAACTATGTTTTCCAATATTGTGTTTGTTGTTTTATACACATTAAATTCAATTTCTGCAATATCAGATTTTTCCTTGAACTCCTAACTCCTTTTCGTCTTTTATAGTGTTGAGATTATTTTTGAAGTATTTTGTGTCAGCCACCTGGTCGATCGATTTCGCATAGATCCAGTTTCATATTAGAAGTATATCTCACTCTTTCATAATAAGAAATTATCATAGGTCATCTCAAAACTCAGAATAAGTATGCAATTTTAATTTTTTTTTTATAAAGACGAAAGTTCAGCAAATATTACAAACAATACTTACGTAAATTCACTTGGTATTGTTTGTTTAAATCTTCCCATTGATGTTTAGGACTGCGAATGATCA